AAAATTTCAAAATCCTTTGTTTTTTCACAAGTACAGAAAAAAGACTATATCACAGGATACAGTCTGTTTTGCATTACTTCATTTAATAATACAATATGCAATGTAATATAGATCCAGTGAAACTTTAGTAATTGGTAAAAGCGCAGAATAGGCTGCATCAACAAAGTTCAGTATGAGGAGCTGCGTGACGTCATTAAATGGGTGGGACTAAGCTTATGACGTCACAATGTAGTCTCGCATTTACACTACGTGTACTTTCTATTTTCTCTTAAAAATAACAATAATAAATTGTTTATTATTGTAAATTAATATCAAATTCCTTACTTTTAATTTACATTTATAACATTTAAGTTTAGGCGTTACTGATAATAAGTATAATAAATCGTTTATAAAAATTACCATGATACAGTGAGCGAATTCTACCAATTATTAAAACGATAAACAAACGTCGCAGTCTCTAATAGTTGTAGAGCTTCAATATTAAATTATTATTTTTTTTATTAATTTTTTTTTATTTATACAAATAAACTATTTTTTTTTAATTTAAATTCATATTGTGGAACATTTCAATTTTATCATTTTTACAAATTACCTTCTTGCTACGTAACGACATAATTCCTTACATACCAATAATTAGACAATTTTCATTATTTCTAAAAATTTTAAATTTTACGTTAATAAAAAAAGAATATTTTTTATTGCATATGAACATCATTACACAGCTTTCATATCAGTTTCTAAAATTCCTAAATCAAGCTATATTCTGTGCAGGCATGCTAGAATTCTACGCATTAATAAATAAAAAAATCTAATTTCTCAGAATGAAAGAAAATAATATAATAAAATAAATACTACAAACTTGGAACACTAAGCAATGCTTCACATACGCACACACACACATATTATTTGCAATTACGATACCAAACACTACGTATTAAAATATGAGGTAAACGTTACTTCAAGCGTTAAAGTTTACAGTTTTGCTACTGTTGAGTCGATCGTCGGACTATCCATATATATCGTAAATCGGAAAGCGTTATAAACATATCAAAAAACAAAAAATTAAAAATACAATTTAAATGAAAAATTATGTCTTAAATATAATTCACAATTAAAACAACAATACAAATTTAAAATACACAAACGATATGTTAAACATTGCACATAAATAAAGTCACATTACTCCTCGACATCACGCACAACCTCGTTTTCCCTTTTACACAACGATCAGTATTCGCTCGAAAAACATTAAAGAATTCCACAAACTCGGTGTCCTTGTGCTCATTTATCTATTTTCACTTAAAGAAAAATCAGACAATTGCTCAAACTCGGCATTGCGCACCACATTGGCTTTGCCCATGTGCACATCAATCTATTTTCACTTAAAAAAACATTCCAGAGTTGCACAAACTCGGCATTGTGCACCACATTGGCTTTGCCCATGTGCACATCGATCTATTTTCACTTAAAAAAACATCCCAGAATTGCACAAACTCGGCATTGCGCACCACATTGGCTTTTTCCATGTGCACATCGATCTATTTTCACTTAAAAAAACATCCCAGAGTTGCACAAACTCGGCATTGCGCACCACATTGGATTATCGACCTATTTTCACTTAAAAAAAATCCCAGAATTGCACAAACTCGGCATCGCGCACCACATTGGCTTTGCCCATGTGCACATCGATCTATTTTCACTTAAAAAAACATCCCAGAATTGCACAAACTTGGCATCGCGCACCACATTGGCTTTTCCCATGTGCACATCGATCTATTTTCACTTAAAAAAACATCCCAGAGTTGCACAAACTCGGCATTGCGCACCACATTGGATTTGCTCATGTGCACATCGACCTATTTTCACTTAAAAAACATCCCAGAATTGCACAAACTCGGCATCGCGCACAAACTCGGCATTGCGCACCACATTGGCTTTGCCCATGTGCACATCGATCTATTTTCACTTAAAAAAAAATCCCAGAGTTGCACAAACTCCGCATTGCGCACCACATGGCTTTGCCCATGTGCACATCGATCTATTTTCACTTAAAAAACATCCCAGAATTGCACAAATTTGGCATAGCGCACCACATTGGCTTTGCCCATGTGCACATCAACCTATTTTCACTTAAAAAAACATCCCAGAATTGCACAAACTCGGCATTGCGCACCACATTTCTGGATCTTTAAAACTCAAGCTATGATTGACTTTCAGGTGCGCATACCCTTCGAACTCGAGACAGTCGTACGCTTTCCAACAATCGGATATAATAATCGATCCTGGTAGAACATTCTCTTTAATGATTTCTAGCAATGTTTCGGCACCTCTGTTTTCAACAACTCTAAAGACGCATTTATCTGTTCCTCTCTCAACCAAACCAAAAACCCATTTTCCTTCAACTCTTTTACCTCTATGATACTTTTGCTTGCCAAACTTGCTTTCGTCGATTTCGACAATGACACCTTCCCCACCCAACTTAACATTCTCCTTCAAACATAACTCCATGCATACTTCTCTACAAAAACTTTTCCAATCTGTCACCCTATTTTTAGCAATACGTAATTCCGTTCGTATAAAATCATTCCCGCACTTACCCAACCACATATAGGTAACTCGCAAAACATCACACATGCTCAATTTACTCTTCGCAAACCAGGAGTTCTTTCGAATTGATCTTGAAATTCGATGCCTACATTCGCCTCCAGTAACTCTGCACATCCCCTCAAAACCGTCTATACGGTTTTTTCGCTCTACTAGTTTCATATTTGTTCCACAAATCGGGCACTTATACGATATTGCAATCAAACCTTTCTCCATACACCACTCAATAACACATTTTTTATCTCTTCGCTCCAACTGATAAAAGAAATCCAGATTCAAATACTCATCCATTCTGCAGTAAGCACCGAATTAAACACACTCATGAATAATCAAAACATTCTTTAAGCAAAAGAATTCTTTTCTGTATTTTCAGAAGTTACGGTTATAATTTTTAATTCATGCATTCAATATTTTCAATCATTTGCTAATGATCATTTTCAATCGTTTGGTATCTTAATAATACATTTGTGAGAGATAATTCGTTGCGCTAAATGCTAACAATACCACACAACACACAAAAGTAGATTTACAATTTAAAAAATCTCGCACAGAACATTATAAACCTACTATTTCAACTCAGTTAAAATATAATATAAGTTTTCTTTAAATACGAAGCTATAGCATACTTATAACTTGTTTTGAAGAAGAGGCGTAACCAATATTACGTCATAAAAAGGCGTGTCCAAGCATCGACTGATGCAGCCTATTCTGCAATTTAGCCTAGTAATTTAGTATTAATTGATAATTACTAATCTGGTAAAATTATACTTACGGGTACCCCTTGATGAAAATTGGTGATTTTTGGCAGTACACGGACATCGAGTTTGTGCAATTCTTTGACTTTATCCATGTACACGTCGACCTATTTTCACCAAAAAACATCAGAGAATTGCACAAACTTGGCACTGCGCACTCCCTTTACTTTGTCCATGTACGCATCAATATATTTTCACTTAAAAAGTCAAAGAAGCACCCAATTCTTAGGTAACAGTATATTTACGGAACATTCAACTACTCAGGTTGAATGGAAGAATGGAACTTGGCTATAAATGAAACAACAACTTCGCAATAACACTAGGACTACCCTTCAGTTTACCTTTAATCTATACTAAATGCTGATTTTAATAGTGTGTAACGAATGAAACTTGACTCATTTGCACAAATCACATGAAAATATAATTTTACACACAGTTATCCATGTTAAATTTTCACATTACCTGTGGATATATGGGCATATAAATTAATTTGTACACTAACTCATGGAAGCACTTCCGCAGAGAACACGGTAAATGTAAACATCGCCTACTTTGGCGATAATAGTTCAAACCCAGCGGATTTATCCTATTCGCTTGTTCAAAGGTTGCAACCATTCCTCTTGCGTTCATTTTGTTAAATTATCACTGTCGATGTTCGCATTTGCAGATTTATATTCTTCTTCTCTTATTTATTATTATTTTTTCTGATTTTTTTAACAACGAATAGGTAAGAAATATTTTCATATAATTAAAGAAGTTTTCATAGATAGACGCCGCTTCTCGGTTCGGGATGAAACGAAGAAAATATGGCGGGAAGGGGCAAATGCTAATTTGTAACACGACTGTTCTTAATTATTAACTGCTGTAAGCACGCAGACCCGTGAGGTTTCCAACAACTAAAATAATTTGTTTTCGTAGGCCGCAAAAATGTGTATGTACATTTTAAATGAGTAATGCTTTTATTTTTATTATTGGTTATTTTCATCTAAAATTATGAGAATAAATCAATTTTTATGGCGTAAAATTTTAACAAGACAATATATTGTTAATGCTTTTCTAACAATAACCTTTCAGAGGATGGCAGGTGTCACATAAATAGATGATTAAATTGAAATAAAAAATATTATTGATTATCTAAGATGACAGAATAGTTTGATGCATTCCCATGGTCATCAAAATTAGCAAACCACTACTGCTGTAAGGGATATATTCCTTACACTTACACATGTTTCTGTGCTAACTGGAATTTAAGGCACTTTTTTTTCCGTATATCACGTTTAACCTGTTAATTTCAGTATATCAATACTAATTTATATTTTTTAAATGAATTTTTATTCTGTTATAAATGCTTATATATTGTCTTATGCTTAATATATTGTTTTCTGTGCTAACTTGAATTTAATACAAATTAATTTTCATATATCACGTTTAACCAGTTAATCTTACATCTACATGCTTATTATCTGTGAATTTTTACTACCATATGCTTAATATAATGTTTTGTCTGGTAACTTGAATTTACATGCCCTAAAAATCACGTTTACGGCTCAGCTCATTCGAGCTTGGTGAGTAAAAATGCAACGATACCAACAGGTTCTTTACCGAAGCGGCAACAGGTTCTCTGCAGATGAAAACTCGTAATTAATATGCAAAACCTATATTTGTTTTCTTATATAAAAATACATTTTAATTTTCAAAATAAAAAATCTCAGTCATATCAAGTCATCAGTCACTTCACAAATACTATCATCATCAGAGTCAGAAAGCTCAAATGGTAGAGATGCACATTCATCACCAGCAGTTAAGGAATAGTATTCACCAACCAGCAATTTCAATTCTTTCTTTATTTCTTCAGCTTGCTGAAATGTTCTTTCAGTTAAATTATCATAAGTTTCTGCCCATTTATCTTTGCTTGCATATGCAGCTGCACAAATATGTCCTGCACTTAAAAATACTTTATTATGTATCTTTTTAGAAGATTTATTTCCCAATTCATGATTAGTTACATTTTCAGTTGGGGATGCATTGGTATTTTCTTTTTCAATGCTTTCCTCAGTAGATAAACTTTGTACAGTATCAGAATTTTTTTCAATGGTTATAGGATTCATCTTACAACTGGAAGCAATAGCAGCATGCAATTTATTCTGAAATTTTTTATTGATAGTTAATTTCAAAGCATATTCATCCTCAGAAAATGTTTTATCAACACCGGTACCAATTGCTTTACTTTGTGATGTATTTGTTGGCTTGCTATTGGATTTGTTATTAATAATTGTAACTGTTAATTTCGAATGACTAGTTTTCTTTAATTTCACTCTCTTTTTTGGAGCATATTTATATCCGGGATATTCTTTCATGTGTAAATGGCGCAAACGGTCTGCTTCTTCAATGAATGGTTGTCTCTGCTCTTTCGTCAAGAGTTTCCATCTTTTACCCAACAATTTGCTAATCTCAGCATGATGCATATCAGGCTGATGTTCAAGTATTTTCTTCCTTTCAAACTGACTCCAAACCATGAAAGCATTCATAGGACGCTTAATATGTTTTGCTGTTTTTTTACATTTAGTTGCATCCGTGTAAGGTGTAGAAGAATTAGAATAAACACTCAAGGACCCAAACTGATAGTTTTCAGCATTATTCGAAGAATCTTTACTTTCTGTGTTTGCCATAATAGCACAATTTAAAAATAATACTGTATTAGCCATAGATATCATTAATTATTGTTATTATTGTTTTGATATTAATATCATTCAACAATAAAAAAGTTATTACTTCTTGACAGCGTAATGCACGTGTCCATGACTATGATAGGCTGCATAAATTTTAGGAAAGTAATTTGCGTCATCTTGCACTAAAGCAGAATAATATTAAGTTTATAAATGCACACTGATGTTCTTTTATTGAAATTCTTTCACTACATAAATGCATTATTTATCTCATCAAGGTCCCTTCTTCTACAATCTAATTACTGTTGCCAACCTAGAAGATGAAACCAAAGCTACTATATACGCAGCTTAGTAAAGAACTTTGTATGGAACTCTGTTTTATTAATCCGGTGAAATGGAGTTATGGCTCTGAATGCCTAATACTGAGCCTAGTACTTAATATTGTCAGTTCACATTGATCATGGCTGACTGAAGCCCAGGGCCTCACAATATTTTTAGAATAAATTAATGTCATTAATTAAGCTTTTGTTAATTCAGGTTAAGTTTTATATGATAGATTTCTTTTCTAGATTATATAAATGCATAATTAAACACTGTATTTTAAAAGAACGTAATGTACCGTTTAGTTAAATATAGGAAATCTATCTTTCAAATGCTTTATTGGAGGCTGGAGAACAGACTTGCACTCATATTGAAATATTTAAAGTATATTGATTCGTTTCAATCTGAATACATAGTTATTTTCTTTATTATATTTCATTTTAAAAATTTTCATCTAATTTCCTTTGTTAATGATTTTTCGGGTTATTGAAATTCTTTTGTAGCTAACGGCAGCGGAAATTGAGTTAGTTATAAACGAGCTGTCTGTGCGATGAAGTTTGGCCAAAGAACATATATAGGTATTCTTTCGTTTGGGGTAACGAGAATATATATGCACTATTATCTACCATAAATTCAGTCCTTGCCAAATATTGTGCAAAAATAATGTGTTAATGATACCAGAAAATCCTCAATATGTAGTAAGAAAAGTAACACAGTGTTGTTTTAGAGCAAACTGATGCAAGATTATTTTCCAAAATTTTGCAGTGCTGCATTAAAGGTATGTGCTTATTTTCACCTTCGGAAAATATGAATACTTGATAACGGATGATATTAATATCAAAAGAGTATTTAATAATTTTTAGTATACTATGGCAAATCTAGAACCTGAAGATACTTTGAATACTGAAAGCTATCAGTTTGGGTCCTTAAGTGTTTATTCTAACTCTTCCACGCCGTACACAGATGCAACTAAATGTAAAAAAATAGCAAAACATATTAAGAGGCCTATGAATGCTTTTATGGTTTGGAGTCAGATTGAAAGGAAGAAAATGCTTGAACAGCAGCCGGATATGCGTAATGCTGAGATTAGCAAATCATTAGGTAAAAGGTGGAAACTCTTAACGAAAGAGCAGAGACAACCCTTCATTGAAGAAGCAGATCGTCTGCGCCATTTACACATGAAAGAATATCCTGGTTATAAATATTCTCCGAAAAAGAAAGGGAAATACAGTAGTAAGCCAACAAATGCATCGCACAGTAAAGCAGTGGGTTTCTGTGTTGATAAAACATTTTCTGGGGATGAATGTGCTTTGAGATTAACAATGAATAACAAAATTCGAAATAAGCTGCAAGCTGTTATAGCTTCCAGATGTAAGATGAATATTTTAGCTGTTGAAAAAAATTCTGATAGTGTAGAAAATTTATCTACTGAAGAGAGCATAGAAAAAGAAAATACCAATGCATCCCCAACTGAAAATGTAACTAATCATGAATTGGGAAATAAGTCTTCTAAAAAGGTACATAATAAAGAATTTTTAAGTGCAGGACATATTTGTGCAGCTGCATATGCAAGCAAAGATAAATGGGCAGAAACTTATGATAATTTAACTGAAAGAACATTTCAGCAAGCTGAAGAAATAAAGAAAGAATTGAAATTACTGGTTGGTGAGTACTATACCTTAACTGCCGGTGATAAAAATGCATCTCTACCGTTTGAACTTTCTGAACTGAATGGTAATGACATTTGTGAAATAATCTGTAATCAAAAATGAAATTATTATTAATTCTACTTACCTTTCTGAATTTCCTTCTCAGTCATATTGCATTCCATATTTTCATTTGTGACTTGCACATTTTTCTTACAAATTGTTTCTGAAATAAGTGAGATGAACTGCTTTGAAATTTCTAGTTGACTGATTGCTCCCCTTAAATACATATTAATTATCTAATCTTGTTGATGCTACTTTGGTATATGGTTGCACGGATTTGAAGTATTTCAAATAATGGTATGCAAATTCCTTATTGCTTAAGTGTACCAACAATCCAGTGGTAAAGTGGCTGAACACCGGTAGTTTGGCCTGTGTTCAATTCCCAGTGCATGGACTAGCTGTATATGCATTTTTGTATTTTTCTCACGTGGAACATGAGTACAAGTCAGGTTTCCTAAAGAAGCACTTCACAAAAGCATTCGTTTTTATAGGCAGATAGCCCTTATGTGTTTTGCCATACTGAATCAGTTATGTAACAAGTACCTTGCATTCATTTCATGCACTTAACTGTATAGATGTTAGTGTATGATTACTATTTGGGATCTCTATTTGAATGAGTGAATGAAAGAAAATGCAATTAATTGAAACATTTTGGTCCTACAGCTGTTCCCAGTCTTTTTTTTTTTTTTTCACTCTGTACACTACTTTCAACAGAGCCGTGTCTAGGGTTTTCAGCACCCAAGTACAGCTGAAATTTTTGTGCCCTTTTCTGTGTGCCTAGAATGGAAAACATTTCATTCTAAAATTTCCTAACATCAATTTGGTATATCCTAGATGCTGTGCCCGGGGATAGAAGTACCTTCTTTTCCTACCTTAGCTACACCCTGGACTTTCAACAAGTACAGTGGTGTTCCTCATCTGTAACATGAATATGAGCCATTTTCTGTAAAGTCATCTCTTCCCTTAGACAGATCGTCCTCATGTAATTTGGCATGATCCTAATAATCATTCTGTGCAGAATGATTTGAATTCATTGCTAACCAAAAATATTATTTGAGACCATAACGTGTTAAAAGTCATAGAAAGCAACGATTGCAGACAGGATTTCAATATAGTCTGTTATGGAAAAATTTACCGTACCCTTTGGTGAATTGTTTCTTTTTTTATGCTAAGATCGGCGGCAATTTCAAGATAGTAGCTACACAAAACCAAATAAGAAGACCTGCACAAACTCTATGTTCATGTACACATCGACCTATTTTCACTTAAAAAAACATCAGACTTGTGCAAACTAGGCATTGCTTAACTTTTCCATCTACACATCGATCTATTTTCACTTAAATCAGGAAGCTAAAAGTTAAAACTATCATGGTAACCAGAAAAATTTTGCCACTGTCTTAACACACAGGGATAAACAAATAACCATAAATACATATTTCCTAACATAAAAACATTAAACAACAAACCTTTTAACAAAAATTAACACACGGAGACGAATAAATAAATGAAACAGCAATTTTTTAACTTACCTTTTTTTCACATCCATACGTTTAGACTTCCCACCACGATCTCCTCCATCCTTCACGTAAGCAATTCAATTAAATTTTTCGACTCATCCGCTGTTAATCAACATTCATCCTCTTACCCACCTCGGGCATACTCAAATGATGGTACCCACAGCAAAATAATAGCAAATTCAAAATCCCAGACTATGGCACACATGTGTAAGCAAACATAGCAACTGAAAAGAATAGTAAGAACCAAAAACCCAGGTCCATTTGAAAGGGTTGCTATTACAAAAAAGTGCAGTGGGCTTCCAGATTTCACAAACAACCAATACCGCTTGGCGATTTTTAGACGAAAACTAAGGGGTACCGTAAAGTAAATATTAGCCATCTGTTACTTTAACTCTTTGAAATCCAAACCCTTTGCTAAACTGTATTCTCAAAATACCGAACCGCCCAAAATACTTTTCCAGTTTCACAGCAATTGCCTCCCCTCCCTGTCCATTAACGCAGAAAATAAGTGTGAAGATTTCGAATGACATCCTTTGTACTTTCTAACAAAGATTCCATTAGCCTTTGGCCCCGTTCTTTATGAATCTATTCTGAAGGACAGACCAAGAAGCTTTTCTGTCTTTGTTATGATCACGACTTAGAAATTTTTTATTTCTGATATTTTTATAAGAAGGAATAAATTGATTAAAACTAAATATAATGTTTAAATTTTTAAACTGCAATTTTAATGCTGTTTAAAGCTTAAAAGCACACTGTACCACAAAAGAATCGACAACGAAATGTCACGAGCAAGCAAAAGATAAGAAACCTCTTAGGACAAGCTGTCTGCAGTAAACTAATACAATGCATTTGGGGAAACTGCACCTGCTACTGCATTCCTTAGTAGGAGGGAAGAAAACAAGATTACAGTCTTGGGCAGTTCTGGTTTTTTCAATGTAGGGCCGTGTCGGGCGGATTGGTTGTGAAAAAGTTAAAAGAAGCACATCAAAGTCTCAACAATTTATAATTAATTTTTTAATAAGTGTTGTTATTTGTGTGTAATGATCGTTCGGCTAATCTTTGAAATATGGTAACAGGTAGTTTGGCGACATTATGGAAAGGCGATAAAGGTTACTAGCTGGAACTTTAGCAGTGTACATGGATAAAGTCAAGAGTGTGTGCAATGCCATTTTTGTGCAATTCTGGGATGTTTTTTTAAGTGAAAATAGGTCAACGTGTTCATGGATACCGTGTATGTGGAATTCTTAAAAACGCGGCAAGCAGATTGCGATTCTGCACTTTCTCCCAATTTCGCACCTAATCTTCGTCATGATTAAGCATTTTTGTTCCATAAAAGTTCTAGTATAAGAGTAATTCGGCTAGCAGATTGTTGGGGGGGGGGGGGGAAACATGCTTTTATTTCGTGAAAACAAAATGGCGTCCAAAACAAAACTAGCAGGTTGCTGTAGCAGGGTTGGTCGCCAAAAAATTGCCAAGTTACCATAATCCAAAGATTAACCGATCATTCTTACCTTTAATAAAATATAGGTCAGGTGATCTTCTACTCGTGTATGCTAGTCATGTTAAATTGTCTTCATATGAGCTCTGATATACTTTTGAAGTTAAAAGATGGTTTTATATATTTCAAAATGAATTATTGATAATTCTAGAATTGCGATTCGTTTTAATTTGACTCTTTTTTAAAAAATAGTAATATTGTTTAGCAGTTGTCATTTTGTTTTATGATTTGAAATTGAATTAATAAAAATATTTTTTAATTCTATTAATACCCCAATTGGTGTACTGCAATGTTTAGTAGAGATGGTCAAAAACCATTCACTTACTGAAGTGAATCGGTTCTTTTTTACAACTCGCCACTGACAAACAATAACTTTAATGAAAATGATCTAGAACAAGGGATGATTCGAGTATTTAGTAAGGGTAAAGCAAAGAGCGGAAAGAATCGAATGAGTAGGGAGATCGAAACTAGTTAACAAGTAAAGAATTGGTTAAGCCACAGCATTAGACGAATTGATCCAATCAAATGCTGACTCTCTGAACTGATTTCTTTGAGCTGTAGCTTGAGATTCCCTAAAGCCTGCTTTCTACATAAAACTTACAATAAAAAATTTTCAAAAAATTTGAAAATGATTAAAATTGAACTTAGAACATAAAAGGATAAACATTCTTTTCTCCAGTAGAGTGAGAATTGAATTTTCCTGCAATGCTACCAATTTCATTTCACTGTTTCTCGGCAAATCAGGCATTTGCTCGCTCAGTAAACTGAATCAGTTCCTGAATGAATAGCAGATTTCTATTTCTGGCACACTTTCAACAAGAGCTAGCCGTGAATTGCAATAGCTATAACTAGAAGCTACAGTTCCATTTTCTAGAATTGGAGTTAGCTCCGTAAAGTTAATCATTTCAGAAGCGTATAGAGTCTTGTATTCTTAGGAAGCATAAACCAACGAGCACTCAAAAGATTGTATGAGGAATTATCATCAGGTCTTGACAAGAACAGAAAAATTCTGAAGAAGGGTATAAAAAACCTTTTGCATATATTTGAACAGATGACCTCATTTGGCCATACATAAAGCCAACACTTCTGGCTTAACTGAAACAGGTAATGTTGAACTTAAAATGTAATTAAATTAGCCTAACCGTCTTGCAAGATAATTTAAACATGCAGGAAGGCTCTGACTCATAAAAGTCGGCGGAAATACGTCTAATGGCTAGAAGCACTTGAAGCCACAGAATAAAATTGCTATTTAGTCAAGGTAACAACGTGACCTCATGTAGGCAAAACACGCTCTAAAATCGCCTTCCAAAACCTTTATTTAAATAGAACTTCTTTCTACCTTAATTTGGCAGGAAAGCATGGTTGTGAGAATGAAAGGAAAGTTCTTTCAACTAAAATTTAACTGTTACTCAAAATAAGTAAATAAATCCTTACAAGCAGATCGTGTAACTCTTGTGCTTGGGTTTGAATCCCAGGAAAGGCAGGGATGTGTGTAAATGAATATATCTATGTGGTATTGGAAGGAGGTCACTCAAAATACGTAGCAAGCCAAGAAGTCCTCTGGAGTAATTTGGTAATACGGAAAGAGGAGTTGGACCAGTCCTGTGGGCTGCAGTGCATTAAAATTGGGATGGAACTTCTAAAAAATTGGTCATTCACTTTAGTTCATCTTGAACAGTATTCTCTGTGAAGAAAGAGATAGCCAAATTATTTATGGATATTGATCATCACATGTGATTGCATTAAGTTGCAAGTATGACCATTTGAAAACAATTTTTGGTACGTTTCCGTTTCGCCGGTGCAAATCTTGCCAAGCAGACTTTATTGGTGACAACACACAGTATACACATAACAAATGTTAGTTCTAAGAAATTTTTATTTTGAAAACATAAACATTTTAATATCATTTAAAATTTTGTAAAAAGACAATAAATTTTTTAAAAAACATTAATTTAAGAATTTACTATGCTTTCATGGTACTATATCCTGATCCGGCGTTTCATATCACGTGACCCCAAGTGATCTCATTTCACGTAAACTATGCTACAAAAATCTAATTCTTTCAGTAATTATCTACATTAATTTCAAGTTAAATCTTAATTTGGATTACAAGTTTAAATGCAAGAATTATTTCAATTCGTATGAATAGCTTACTCAGAAATTATGTGAAACCTCAGTGCTTTACTTCGCTAGTGCATTCTCATTAGAATTGATGAATTTAACCT